CTCTTTTTCTCACCGTTTATGCAAAAAAGGCTTCAACAAAAATTTATTTGCACACAGAGCCAGTTTAGACAAAAACACTTGCCTTTGATCTTTTGGGGAGCTCAAACAGTGAGCCTTTAAAACACTTTTTTCATATCTCCTCTCCATCAGGTAATCTTCGAGAACAAGAAAAAAAGAAAAGAATCTGCGCCACACGCTCACAGACAATTGTTTCTATTACCACATGCCATAACTATCATCAAGCTGCTGAAAAGACACTTTTTTCGTTCCTGCGGGAACGTGAAAAGATAAGAAGCCTCTGAACCCCCTCTCCTGAAAACAGCACTGGGACATCTTCAGTCTTGTAAAGCCTGACAGAACAGAGAGAGAGAGAGAGAGAGAGAGAGAGAGAGAGAGAGAGAGAGAGACGATCGGCTGGTGACAAACTGAGACAGACGGATGTGCCGGGCTTTAAAAGAATCATGATGGGTTCACTTTATGCTCTGTTTAAACATGTATCAAGTGGCAATAATGGCTCATCATAGATTTGTCACTTCCAGAGCCCTGAAGGTTTCTCTTTTCCCCTCTTTTCAACTAATCAAAAAATAAATCCTAATAATGATAATTTATCTTCATAATATTCAATCCTTCTCCACCAGAGTGGATTAGATTCAGCAGCAGCTCTGATGAGAAGAGAACTTGGATCTTGTCATCACAGCTACTGTTAGAACCCTTTTTCTAAAGATGAGATTTATTGTACAGCTCGTGCTTTTTGGTCTTTTTTTAAAACAGATATTGTAAAAAGAAAAACAGACGGTTATTTTATCTCATTTTATACTCCAAAAATGGGAAAATGGTCCGTTGTTTAGCTTTTCTGAAAATAGAAGTTTAACACCTTTGTTATCAGACCATTTAAGGTGGAGCTAGTTAAATAGCTTTTTTTAATAACAGATGCTGCCTGTAAATAAATAAAATACTAGCTTATCCAGCTCGGCAGCTTTTTTTTTTTTTTTTTTGTATCAGAACACTTCTTCTTTGCACAATCTAAATATGATTGTCACAAACACATCAGTCACAATGAGAAAGAAAAACATCATTTTCTTACAAGTCTCAGATATATGAAAGACATTTTGGACAAGGATGCATAACATAATTGTTGTATTTTCTCATATTTCTGTCTGTTTTCTTAGAGAAAAAAGTGTATTCTTTTTCCAGTGTGGCTCTGTATTATATATAATTTATTACATATAATATATTCCAGAATTAGAGGGACTAACTAAAACTGCTTGAATAATTTCGGCCTGGTTCAGTAAAGGAGTTGTGTTCAGGGTAGCATTTTTAAACCAACTCTTAGTTTCACCTAAAAAGGTTTTAAAATGAGTCCTTGTGTTTCATTCGTTTATTTGCAAAAGGTCAAAGGATTGTTGCTGCACCTTTTTTTCCCTCAATGAAGGGTTGGGATTTTCAACATTTGGACAATTTAGTTGTTGATGCAACAATATCTGCAGTGTTTCCCTGGGTGGCAGCAGTAGTGCTGTGTTAGTGGTTAGCACTGTTGTCTGACAGCAATAAGGTCCTGGGTTCAATCCCTGTTTAGAACCCAAAGTCTTTCTGTGCAGAGAGGAGATGGGATGAATGGCTTTTTGAAGGGATCTGGATCTTGACAAGTCATTTGTTTCATGGAGCTGTTTGATTTTGAATGAGTGATGGAAGTCCATCACGTGGGCAGAACCATGTGTTTTGTCAAGCAGAACCCCCTCCCCTTTTCCCTCGAGCTGCTGTACTCCACCCGTCTGCCTGTTTACTGTGAAAAAAACAAAGGAGTGATTGTCTCTGTGCTTAAGGAGGGAAAAAAACATAAGATGWAAAAAATAAAAATAAAACTACAAATGTCTCTCTACAGCCTGCCTTTTGGTTCCTATCATTCATTGTAAGGAGCCATTCAAAACATCTGTATCATTCACAAACGTCACATCTCTTGTCTGGAGTTATGTTTTCCTCAGGTTTGCGAGAGTTTTTTCTGGGTACTCTGGTTTCCTCCCACAGTCCAAGAGCATGTTCCTTGGTTTGCCTTCAGGCCCAGGCCTTCCTTGCAACAGAYATTTGTGATCCCAGTGGGATTTGCCTAGTTAAATAATGGGTAATAATGGTAATTGAAGCCACTTATCTTGTTGCTACACTCCCTCTGGGTGCCCTTCTTGGACAATGGGAGGTGAAACACTGATCTGAAACTAGAAGAGATCTTGAATGAAACCTTTTCTGACACACCTGCCCTCTCTTTGTGAAGGCAGCATGTGGCGTCCCATCCTGAGACACAGTCACCACCAGCTGTCGGGAGTGACTATTTCAGGCTAACTGCACGTCACAAACAGCTCTGATCTGTAAGACTCAGGTGCTTTTAGACGTTGAAGTATTTTTTTCCCATCTGAATTCATGCACCAAACCTCTTAAATGTGCGTCAGCGCAGGGTTTGGTCGACAGCACAGTTTGAGGCGCACAGTCTCCCTTACCTGATAGAAAATACCTGAACTTCACACATGGAAAATCATCAAATCGACATTTCCTGTGTGAACTTGGAACGTTTTTAAAATGTATATGCAAGGTTACAAGATTATCCACATGTATAAAACATCCACGTGTTTTTCTTTTCTGTAAGGGACTGCAAGGTTGAATTGGAACGATAAGCAAAATCTATTTTGCTGCCAATTAGTAGCCACAAAAAATCTGTTGGTGAATCAGGAACCTCCGATAGCAAAGCAGGAGCGCTGGTTTTTATCTTTAAGCTGTCTGAGGCTTGGGGCAGACTGTTCTGGCCCTGGAGGTTTTTAATGTTGTTCAATAGACAAGGTAGAGTTTGACCTCAGGTCGCTCTACCCCGCAGTTGTTTAATGACTCCTCATAAGCAGCTTCATCAGTCTGGCAATTAAACCATGAGCAGCTAAACAGCCCTCTATAAAGGCGACTGAATGCAAGGAAAGATAAAATGTCAGGGACACAACTCAGGAGATGCTGCGATAATGATTAATTGTGTGTTTAAAAAAAGGTGATAATAGGATTTTTCACTGTGCCGATGTAGATTTAGGTGTTCTTTCCTGTATGGTCTTACACTCTAATCATTCTCACTAGGGTACGGTAACACTGACTTTAATTGGCTGCAAGGTTTGAGGAGAATGACAGGATATGTTCAACACGACGGGTTTTCATTTGCAGTCTGACTTGTGAGAATCTATTCATCCAGCTGTTGCGTCATAAACTAGTTGCACAAAATGGTTGCACCGCCGTAGAATCACAGCCGCTTTTAGTTTTACAAAAATCCAAATTTGAGCTGTGAACGTGCTGCTAAAAGACAGCAGAAGTTAGTCTCTCAGTCTGAAGAAGTTGTATTATTAATGCAACGTTCAAGGTCTCCGAAGAGTTTTTTGCACTTCTGTACTTAACACCAACTGCGTCCGTATAAATAATTATTCTAATTTCAAAGGACTTCTTGAATGATTTTGCATATCATTTGGGGCAGAGACCGAAGCAACCGAGACAAGTTTTTACATTATACAACAGCAGCCACCACCAAGAAAAAAAAATATGTCTGCCTTGATTTTTTTTAAGTCAGGAATGTGTAAATTAAAAAAAAAACAGAAGATAAGAAACACTTCTATTAAAAGACAAATGTAGAGTTGCAAGAAAAAAAAGGTCAAGCCCAGTCTTAAAGATATTCACAKCATGGCTGTGAGGCAAGTCGATACTTTATCTTCAGGATTTCGTTTTAAATAAAAGACGAATTTCATTCTTTATTTATCCTCCATTRTCTTGTTTACGGGTGGAAAAAAACACACACAGCTGGTTGAGTATGGATCTGCAGAATATTTGTCCTTCATAGTAAACAAAGACAAATCACTCAACATATTAGTTGTGACTAGTTACTTTAAATTTAAGAGTTAGTAATTATTTTATATTAATTTCATACTTGGCCAAGTTGAAGACTTGGCTATTCTGTTCCGTTAGTGGATCAGTTAGCTTCTGCCAAATTTGATTTTGCCAACTTTAAGTCCACTAATCGCTAATTAAACTAACAAACTAACAACAGGTTTGTMTCAGTCCCAGCAGTCTTCAGCTGGACAAAGACGAAGATGTGTGACAGACTGACTATGGTCTTAGCAGTTAGTTGGTAGTGTTAGCTTTTGCTAGTTTTGACTTGTTTAGCTTTAGCATCCACAATTTTTTTATGTTTTGTGTTAGCGAAGCTATATTTTTAGTTAGCAGATTTTAGTTAGTGAAGCTAAGTTTTTGGTTAGCTGTGCTCACTACTTCTAGCACCATTTGTCATTTTATCATAGTTGAGGTATCATTATAACTTGAGGATTGGTGTGTTTTTTTATTACACATTGCAATTTAAGCACACCTTGCATTTAAAAAATAATTTTAAGAGCCTGAGCCCCACACAGCTTCTGTTTCCAATGTTTCTTCTTAGTTCCACCCAAATGTTAGTTTAAGAAGCAGCTTTGACCTTTCAGGGAGGTTGTTCGGTTGGAGTACGACGAGGCTGAAAGAAAGAGAAGTTGTTCAACCAAAAAAAACAAAAACAGCCGGATTCTGTCAAAAGTGATCAGAGTCACGAACCTGAGTGGACTGTGGAGAAGTGGCACCGAACCCCAAAGAAAGAATTTAACATGTTGTTCGTGTCACAAAAGATAGGCTTGTGTGCTTGAGCAGGGTGTCTCACTTACACTGAATCATAGAACAGTCGTTTTTTTATTAACTAGTGTGGAGAGACGGCTGCCTTGTCATCAGCTTTATACAGCTGTAATCAAAAGATTAGAGGTCCCTAACCAGAACCAGCTGCCTCAGTCATGTTTAGCTCCTCCACTAGTGTAAATCCTGAGAACTTAAGGCCCGAAAACCCCAATAATCTGAATTGAAAACATTTCCTTCTCTTAAAATAACCACATGTTATCCAGTGACTTTTATTCATAGTTTTGTAATTTGCTCAATATCTCACATTTATTTCATTGTCCTCATTATTCCAGGATCAAGGAAAGATTGGCGTCATCTTCAACGTGGGAACAGACGACATCAGCATCGACGAGCCTGCCGTCATTGTCAATGATGGCAAGTACCATGTAGTGCGCTTTACACGCAGTGGCGGGAACGCCACCCTGCAGGTGGACAACCATCCTGTTATAGAGCGTTACCCACCAGGTGAGCCTGAAGACCACGAGCATCTGTTCAAACATGTTTATCTGGGTTGTAGAGAAACAGCATGGATTTTTTTTCAGCATTTGAGGATTCCAAACATACGTTAATTTTTAATGTTTTTGCATTTGAGTTCTTTACTTTCATCACCCATCTGATTCACCACCCTTACCTTCAAATGTTGAGTAGAGCGACTAAAGACAGCAGCTGAGTGAGGAAATCTGGTCAGTTTGTCCTCCAGCAGTCTAAGCCTATAGCTAAGGGATACTTTAGGAAACCCAAGCCAACCCTAGCTGTAGGATTTATCAAAAAGGGAAGTCTTAAAGCTAGTCTTTAAAGTAGACAGAAACTGGAAGTTCATTCTACGAGAGGAGCTTGAGAACTGAAAGCTCCGCCTCCCATTCTACTTTTAGYAACTCGAGGAACCACAAGTAAACCTGCAGTCTGAGAACAAAGTGCTCTGTTAGGAAAGTATGGAACAGTAAGATCTTCAACWTAATATGAAGCTTTGTATGTAAGAAGTAGGATTTCAAATTCTATTCTGAATATCAAATATTTACAATAACCGTACATGACGAAGGCTGTCAGCTGGAATAGAATGCATCATGGCAGAAAATGACCCACTGAAATGTATGTAAAATGTACACAAACTGTGAAAATGTTTAATTAAAAAAAAAAAGAAACACAGAATTGGTGATCACAACGGGCTGTCCTTTAAATCTGCTCTGAACCAATCAACTAATTAACATCATCCAGAACAGGTGTTGACTGGCAGAGCAGGAGGAAACCAGATCCCCTCTCTGCCTCCAGCTGCTGCTCCGCACGCACGCACGCACGCACACACACACACACACACACACACACACACACACACGGTTTTACATAAATCKGAATAGTATAAACAGCCGTGTGTGTGTCTCTATTTTCAGCCCCCACTCAGTAATCAGTGATTTTCAAACATTTTCAAAAGGTAAATTAAAATCGACTGAGGAGCYCAAGAGCAAATCCAAATGAAGGTTCTGTTTTTGTGCCATTAGTGAGCCTCAAAAACTCTGAAATGCAACATTATTGGTTTTCATTTGACTAAAAACTGACATCTAGTAATCACAATGTTTACAAAAGAATATTGCAAGCACACATCTTTCTTGCTGAACTAACCCTTAGTGTTAAATCATCATCATTTTCCTCCTCTTATGTTCTGCTCTATAATTTAACCCTTTCTGTTCATTTAACCAATCCTTAAACATGACTGACTTCAAACAGGTCCAAARAAAAGTAATGCTTTAATATTTAATAGAAGAATAGAAATAGAATTTATTGTCCCGCGGAGGGAAAATTCCGGTGTCACAGCAGCATCCGTACAGAGGTTCACACACTAGTTACTTTACAAGCTGTAGATACCACAAAAATTAGCCATGATACAACTACTAACAATAAAAAATACAGTATAAAGAATTGTGCAAGGATAGAAAAAGATATGTTTTGTTTTAGAGACTCTCATTTTTCACCAATAACCAAGGTTTCGCAGACTTAAAACAAGTTGGACAACAAATTATAATCATTTTTTCCCATATTTATTTTATTGCTGTTATTTTTCTCATATTTTTTTCTGACATGTTCAAAATAAAGTAATTTCATCTTAAATATGAACAAGAATTAATTCAATTCTCAATTAGTGCAAAAAGCGTGCCTGCTTCAATTTTTCCCTATTACAAAAGTTTAAGTTATTGCCTTTTTTTCTTTAACTTCATGATTCTTTTGTGTGTTTGCATGTATTTCTCTCTCACTTGTGTTTTGTTAATTTTACTTCTCATCTTTACATAAAAAACTGAAATGTAGTTTTGATGTTACAGCTAACTTTTTAAAATGTTGCTTGGAAATGTAAATGAGCATGAAGCAGCAATGTTTCTTTATTTTATAATTTAACTACAGTCAAGTTTTTTTTACAAACATCTTGATAAAAATGTCTCAGGGGCACTTCATGCACAATTATTTGTCAGGTGAAAATTCTGACTTCATCCTCATTTCTGTCCATCTTTATCAACCCCAAATTCAAATAAAGTTGAATCACTCGCTGAGTTGAGTGATTATCTGGGACCATGAGGCCTAAACTGTGTCTAACATCATGTGTGCATAATTATTGGGCAGCTTCAATAAATGAAACAAAACTCAACAAAAAAATGAAAATAAATAAAATGATGGCAGGTGCACTGTTTGAAACACCTCAAAAACATCCAACATCAAATTTAACTAGTTGTAGCATTAGAGAATATTTTATGAAAATTATTCAACTATAAAAATGTTTAGTTTTATTTTAAAAATGTATCGTTACTCAGACGTTGCCATGTTTTTTATGCCGCAAAGCATTCTGAGTAAATGTTGACGGCTACAAGGTGTAGCTTGAAGGTTAATGTTGAACAATGTCTGACATTCATCCCTTTTAAATGAAACCAGAGAGCGTTGACAGAGAGGAGAAGGTAGAAAGGACTCAGTCTGCAACTGAAACTGTGGACGGAACTGCTTCACCTCAGCTTTAACCTTTTAGCTTTCACGTTAGCTAATGCTACAAATATATTAGTAATGTTTATGTCATGTGAGCTTCTAGCTCCAAAACAAATTTATTAAATGTTTAATTGTTTCAATAATGTACAGAACATAAAAACTAATACAGAAAATAAATTTATTTTCACACAAAATGTAGCTTTTTWGCCTCGACTCTGTGGTCTCAACTTTAAACCATCATCATCCTCAGAATACAGTGCATCAGTAACAAAATGGTGACGTAAAGTGAAAAATGTAATAAACAGTTTTTTTAAGCAATTAGATGTTTTCATGTCACAAATAGCAACTTTTAGTAGAATAGCGAAAAAACATCATATTGAGGAAAATGGGTGCAAGTGGTACACAGGGAGTGCCAGGAATGAGTTTTCTGGTGCTTTGAGACGTTCTCGGAGTGAAGAGGGCTAAAACTGACCACCACAGAATGAGACTTTGAAGAGTTGACATAAGGCCCCGGTGCTGAGAGCGGTTCTTACGGACAGATGAAGTGAGAGGGAGTCTTCAAGGAGCAGATGGATGCATCTGCTTCAGGATCACTAATGGACTCGGGGCATCKCTTCAAATCAGGGCCCACAAAAGATGAAGGAGGGGGGCCGCCATCATTAAGGCCAAGCTATTTAGACCCTTTCAGACTGGAGATGTGCTGAATGTAAAGTCTTGAACCCGATGCTGGTTGCTGGGAGATCCTCTCCTCTCTGCAGCGAAAATCTGCAAAATTCAAGCAGGCCGTGATCTTTCTGCATGACAGTGCTGCTGAACCAGATCCGTCTAAGAACTCCCATGCATGGTTAGACAGCAAAAAATGWTGAATAATGAACGACGCTTTCCCCACTTTCCTCACAGGATACAGATCCCATTGAAGGATGGTGGGCCCGACTCAAACATGACGCCTCTTTGAACATGAGTTCAGAGGCAGAGGCTGCTGCTTCAGTCGAACTTTAACAGAAGCTGACGGAATCCAAATGGGGCTGTGGCAGTTAGTGAAATATTACTTGGCTAAAATGAACGATGGAGTATTTAACCCTCAGAAAGTCCTTTAACTTTATGATAATAAGTGTTCCTTAAAGGAAAAATTGACCACATTACATAACTGCTGATAAAAAAAAAACATTTTTTATGTTTTAGTCTACAATAAATTAGACTTTAAAAGCTATCGCAGCCTCGAATTAAAACAAAAAATTTAAATTTCTTTTTTTAATTAAGAGCCATTAGTTTTACAAAACATCCACAATTTATTATACATTTTTAATTAGACAATTTCTTTAATTTATGGAAGTTTTTTGTGGGAGAAAGACAGTTTTCCACCTTAAGACACCCAAATGGTTTTTTGGCATAGTTGTAAAAATTCCAGTTTGGCGTTTTGGGAAGATCTTCCACACCCCTGCACCTGCCCGATCTGTTATCTGGAGAGGAGGTCCTGTTTTTAGTAAAGCTCACATGAGTCGACCATGGAGTTTATTTTATTTTTTTTTTAATGTTTTGAACTAAAACAATTTTTCAGATGAGATAAGAATCCAGATTTGAGAGCAACATGGAGGTCCCTTTTCCAGGTAAACTGCAGGAGGCTGGTC